TTCACTGATCAATACGGCCGAAAATCGTGCTATCTCGGTCAAGAACTACATGTCTTTACTCAAGAGTATCGTCAAAGTGCTGGCATACCGGAAAATCGGCGTATTGCTGAGTATGCATACACTAACATCGACGGATAGTGGAAGTCTCTGGTACAGCGACACGATCTCGGAAGATGATTTCCTGGATGCCATTGACACGCTAACGGATAATCTCTGCAGTAAGACGTACTGGAACATCATGGGGATTGATGTTAAGAACGAACCTTCGAAGGCTACGTGGGGTGACGGGTCTGACACGGATTTCCACGCTGGAGCCAAGAAGATCGCAGATCGAATGCTAGACGGCTGTTCTAACTGGATGGGCTTCGTGGAAGGCATCAACGCCGACCACACGGTCACGATCGATGGTACAGACTACGACTACTACGACTGGTACGGTGGTGGTCTGCAGGATGCAGCAGACTACCCTCTTACATTCAGCACGGAGAACAAGGTGGTCTATGCACCACACTACTATACTCCTGCTGTTTACCCTCAGTCGTACTTCTATAATGGAGGCACTCAGGACTCGAACGGTGCAATTTCCGACTATGTCGAGATCGATGATGATACACTGAAGGCACGAATTAAAGCCACAATGGCCGATATGTTCGGCTTTCTGGGCGACGACAACTCGTCTGCGTTGTTACTGGGTGAATTTGGAGGTCTTTACTCGAAGGATCTGCACCCGGAACTCACTACGCAACGCTGTACGGATCTGAGTATGGAGGTGATTGTGGAAAGTGGCTGGGCGGGTGGGTTTGTATGGTCTTTGAACCCTGAAAGTGCCTACCAATACAACCCTGCCGATACCTATGGTACCTTTACGGAAGGTATCCTTGAGGATGACTGGCTGACCGCTAATAGCGAGTTCCTCAAGGGCATGACTGTCTTCAACGACCTAGCGAACCTACGCTCAATGCCCTGCTTTGAGGTGGAGGAATCAGCGTCTGGATCAGACTCGTCCAGCTCAAGTTGATAGGACCAGCAAGCGCTGGATGATAAAGCCCGATCGGCTACGAGTACTTGCTTCGTCTCGATGGGTTTTCGCTAATTAGGCTGCACGAAGACCTTGTAAATGTACATGCAATATTTTTTTTACGATTTTACGTTTTCAGCTCCATCAAGCTCATTTGGTCGTGTTCCTCCCATCTTTTGAAGACGCAAGCGGTTCTCAAGTTGCTTGATCTTCCTTTTTAGCGATGAATAGGTAAGCGCAACATCCTGTTCGCGCTGCAACGTTGTCATCTGATAAATAAATGTCAGTGTCTGCAGAGAATAAAAAAAATTGCAAGTGGGATACGTACGATGTAAACGGTGAGTGAGTTCCGAAGGAAGAAAATGGCAAGCAAGAACATGAACAGAAGTGCCCACGGCACGAAATTGTTGTCAAGTATCAATGAGTAGAACGCCGATGCAACACTGGAAGAAGTAATATAGCTCAAGAGAGGAGTGTACCCCTTCTCCACTTCTACAAACGGGCCACAAGAGTATTCGCAGATGCAGCGAGGATAACCAGTTGAACATTCAGGACCATTTAGGAAGTACAAACTCTGGGTAGAAAGGAATAACAATAGAGATGCAAATAAAAAAAATTGAGATGCCAAGAAAAAAAAAATCGAAGTCGACAGAGTGAACTGTACCGATGAGCGAGTTGGATCGATTGTACAGTTTTTTTTAGCAGCGTTGTAGGTGTTTGGCAGGCATAGCTCGTTGTCACTGGTGTCTTGAATATCACATTGCTTGGGAAGCCGCGTATTGAACAGGAAGAAATGGGTAAAACTGAGGAATATGAGTACAGTGCAGAAGTAAAACTTGATGAAGAAGCTGTCGGCATCTTTGGCACCCCACGGATTCGCAGGCTTCCTCTGCAAATGCTACTCATACATTTTCAAATAATGTCAAAAGTTAGATGCGCAACCAGCACGATAAGTCGTCTTCCGTACCATGAGGATGAATTTGTCAAACTTGAAGTTGGCTATGTGCAGCAAAAGAGCTAGTAGCGCTGTTGTTGGAGCGAGGGGTATAGCCACCAACGCAATCGTGCACGAATACAGCAATGCAACCATCTTTTGTGGAACAAGAAATTCGGACTTTGTTACCAAATTCTCGGAAGCTGGTGTCAGGATAACTTCGGCGTCTTTAGTGGAAATTCGGAACTTATCCGGGTCATGCTGTCCTGATATTTCGTTTGCAACCTCCTCCGACATCCCCATATCTTCAGGTAAAACCTTAGAGCTAATTTTCACTTTCTTCTGTTTCCGCTTCTCGCGTCGACGTTGCCATATTCGTTTTAAGAATTTAATGACAACACCTACGAAAGGGGACGATATCGCCATTGCTTTACTGACGCTGAAGTCTGTCACCACGAGTGTTAACAGGCCTGCCGACACCTGCTCAGCGCGACAAGTATAAACTTCAGATTTGAACTCCAACATCACATTCTCGCGGACAGTAGATCCCTCGAATGTGAACAAATCCAGAATCTTTTGGGTCGAAGTGAGCAGGAACGGGTCCAGAAGCAGAGCAAACGAGAACATCTGAATCAGAACATTTAAGATCTTGGCCAGATATAAGCGAGTCACCATTGCTTTGATGGCAAAACCCACGTCGTCCCATTTTTCGAGTGCAGTCAGCAGCGAAATCAGCTTCGGGAGAATCGCATTAATCACTGTCACCACGGCAGGAACAATGCTGCTGGCATAAGGAGCAAAAATCGCAGCCTTTTCAGCAATCTGCAGTTGAATCTGGGAAGACTGCGTTGTCAACAAGATGATCAGGTACCAACTCGCAGCTTGGATCGCCACGTAGAAGACGAAAGCAACGAATCGTCGGGCGTACAAAATGTACCTTTGCTTTCTGATGGGAAGACAAGTAAAGACTGAGATCCCGGCTACCAACAAACAAGATAAGGCTATGTATCGTACTTGGTTCGTGACTTGATGGTCTCTGCGCGCTTCTCCTCCTCCATAGCTAGTTGTACTTGTTCTGCTATAGTCTTTTTGAGGTCGCTGGCTTGCTGAGCATTCCAAATGTTAAGGCTAGCGCCCACACAACGCGAACTCGAAACTTGTACTTACGTTTTGCGTAGTCAGCGAAAAATCCCACGCATTCAGTAAAATCCGGCTGTACTTGGGCTAAAACAACGTGTTAGTTTGCTGGTTTAAGTAAGAATTTGCAAGTTACGAGCAACCTACCTTTTCACTGGTATTTTCGACAGCTTGAACTGTCTTGGACATTCGATCCTCAGCTACCCATTTGCGAAGAGTAAAAAGCAGCAACAAACCCTCCATCCAGATGAGAACAACCTTACAGCATCACAGTTATTTTAACTCAATTTTTAGGGCAGCAATCAGAGATATTCGAACCGTGTATACGAATGCTTCATCCGGAAAATATCCAGGGAGCTGGAGAAATGTCGGAAAGACACCAGAGAACGTCAGCCAGTCCGTGGTTGACGGCTAAACGCATTAGGGGGTTAGCAAGTGCTGGTTATAGATACTAGTATATCGATGCTTTTTTTTTTTTACCAACCTGGTGGATAAGATACAAAATATGCAGCACGAGGAACACGAAACATGGGATCGACATGACCATGAAGGTCATAATGATCCATCCGAAAAAACGAAAGTACGAAGCCACCGAGGAGCCAAACTGGGCCTCAATCTGCCGAATATCTGTCGTGAAAGGATACAATTTTCTTCTGATAAACAACCGTAATTTTTTCCATTTCAATCGAATCCCTTTCACCGCAGCTCGATCGTTTCCATCGCCAAGATCCGCCTCCAGCATCTCTTGAACGTCAGCGGCTCCGTTCAGCATTTGTTGTCGCATTTCACGCTGTCGTTGAGCCTCGATCTCTGTCAATCTTGACCGTCCTCCACCACCGCTAAGTCCAAGCTTAATTTGCATCATAGCATTGTTGCCGCCGCCTACAGCTCCTCGAAAGCGTAGAATGGTCTCTTTCTCCTCTTCCCAGTCCTCTTGAGCGGAAACAAGCTCTTGTTGTGCTTGTTGTAGCTCATTCTGCAAGTTAGCAATTGTAGTTTGAGCTTGTGTGTGTGTAGTTTGGAGCTTTTGCAGCATTCTGTCTCGATGTTGCAACTGCTTCTCCAAGAGCTTCAACTTCTTGGCCACTAAAATCTGTCGATACTGCGGCTGATGACTCGCAAATCCATCGGTCGTTGTTGTCTCGTAGTCGTTTGTGTTATCTTCCTCGTCACTTTCGTAGTTTGCAACACTCCAGTCACTTTCATCAGCTGGTAACGACGTTAGTTTGGCCATTTGCTTGTCCACGGACGCCTCGATAGCCTCCAGACTCCACGAATTCCTAACATGTAACACGAGAGCTCAGTCTATATGCAGTTTATCAGCAAAATAAAGTTTTGTGCGTAATTTTTCTAAACCTCATGCCACTGAAGCCAGGAACATCGTCGGTGTCTTTGTTCTCCATTGTAAAAAAAAATGTTAAAAAAAAAGTTCTACTTTCTCATCCAAAAATAAACTTGAAAATGACGATCCTTTGTTATCCACTATCTTTTTCGCGATTGTTCAGAAAATAGCAAATAGTCACTAAAATTAAACTGTCACTAAGAAGGGGTAAGATAGTGAATATTTGCAAGATCATGCCCTACAAGCACGACGAGGTGTCCACCAACCTCTGGTACTACGTGCACGACGCCACCGCGCACCCTGCGAAGCACCACCACAAGAAGTCACACCACAAGAGGCACCACCACAAACCAGCGTCGAAAACCGCGAAAATGGCTCTAAAATCCACATCGAGATCGACTAAAGAAGCGGTTTTGGAGCTTTTCGACTTCGACTGCAATTTGACACACGAAGATCTTCGTGATAACGTCGCTGCTTTAATGCAGCAAGCTGCAGCTGTCGGTGTCAAGGAGATGCTGGTGCCAGGCGCCACTATTGAGGAGTCTCAACGAGCCATCGAGCTCTGCAGACAACACCCGACCAAGCTCTTCCCGACGGCAGGAGTGCACCCTTACACTGCACGAGCAATGCCAAAAGACGAGGAATTGAGTACTCTGCGAGGTCTCATGGAGATGGAGGAAGTCCGGGCAGTGGGGGAGTGTGGCCTGGACTACTCGCCTAAGTTTCCCGAGCCAGAGTTCCAGAAAAAGTGGTTTGCCGAGCAACTATCGATGGCCTGTGCGCTTAAGAAGCCTTTGTTCCTCCATGAGCGTCTGGCACATGAAGATTTTATCCAGCTGATCGATGAAGCGAAGCAAAAGGCCAATGGATATTTCCCTCCGGCAGTGGTGCACTGCTTCACTGGCAATGAAGACGAATTGAAAGCGTACATTGCACGCGGTGACGACTGGTACATCGGCATTACGGGGTTTATCTGCAAGAAACAAGGAGCTGCATTGAAGGAAATGGTCAAACACGTGCCGCTGGATCGTCTTGTATTGGAGACGGATGCGCCATACATGGGCTTCCCCAAATGTCGACGCGCAGAGGCTACAGATGCCAAGAAACAGTACCCAAATGTGCCCAGTGCGATGCCACTGGTGGCTCAAGCCGTGGCTACTGCTTGGGGCCGCTCGCCACAGGAGATTGCCAAGATCACTAGAGCCAACGCTCGTCGCTTCCTACGTCTATAAGAAACTGAGGTAGATGGCATTTGCAGGCATTCCATAGATACTTGTAAGTGTTAAACTGTCCTAAGTCGTAGCGTTGGCTATCCCCACGCTTGGAACTACAAACTATACGTAATAAACTCTGGGAATCTCCCCAGTCTCTTTTTCTTCCTATAACATTAATAGTCCTGCATCGATGGCGTGTTGTTGAACGAGATGATGCTTTTCATCTGCGTGTCTGTGTCCTTGGCACTCCAGTCCGAGTCCACGTGCATGTTGTGCTCCTCTTCGGCGCTTTCGCACTCGCTGTCCGTACTGAGAGTGCTGCTGTTAGAGGAGGAGTGTGGGGATGCCACACGAGGCTTCGTGCACTTGTACACGGCCTCAAAAGTGTCGTCCCGCTCCCTCAGCAGTCGACTGATGTTCTTGGCGATTGTTGCCACGCTGCGTTCGTCGTTTGTCACTGTCAAGTCCCAGTCGAATGACTCGTAGAACGCGAGCGTCTCCTCCATCCACTCGCGCTTGTGCTCGTTGAGCCGTAATCGCTCGGGCTCCAGTTCCAGTCGCGCGCAGATGCGACGCCACAGTAGCTCGACGGGCCACAAGAGTATTCGCAGATGCAGCGAGGATAACCAGTTGAACATTCAGGACCATTTAGGAAGTACAAACTCTGGGTAGAAAGGAATAAC